AGAGCGCAAAGGTCAGGTGTCGTGCACTCCGCCTTTGGGATAGGAAGCAGTTAACTACAGAGGAGGAGACACAGGCCAGAAGGAAGTCTTCAGAGAGGAGGTGGCTTTGGCACTAAAGAGTGCATAAGGCTTAGCCCTGCTGGGAACCGAAAGAGACAATTTCCTGTTCTGCTAAAAAGGCTGGAAAAGGCAGTGCAAGTTTGACCAGAGGCATGGTCAGGAATTCACCTGGGAAGTTGCTGTAAGCAATGCAAGGGGGACCCGTGGTAAACTGCAGGGTACTTGCCCAGGGCCTAAAAATATTGAAATGTGTTTTTAAAGGGCATCCAAATTTAAATGTAAAAAACCTACAAACAATGGACCAACCCAACAAAATAGTATTTTGCCTGGGGATGTCATCTCTGCCAATGGAGACCAGGTTATAATGGAGTTTTAGGTTCAATTACTACAGGTCTGAAAAGCCAAAAATTGTGACTGCTTCACACAACAGATGGGTGATCTGGGGCAAGGAGTTTAAGTTCTCTGTGCTTCAGTTCATTGTCTTTAAAGTGGAGAGGATAATATTTTGTTCATTAGGTTGATTAAAGGAAAAACAGTTTATGCAAGAATGCTTAGCACAATGTCTAGCACAAAAATAAGTGGTCAGTAAATAGTAGTTATAAATGTTATCTAACTAGTCATCTGATCCAGTCATGGCTAAAAGTAGGTGCTCTTTTGCAATAGATAAATGGGTAAGGACACATGGTCAGCAAGCAACTACTAACAGGAACTGGCAAGCAAAGTACTAAAGCTGCTCAGCCTGGCTAGTAAGCAACGAAACGCAGAGCGACACAGCAGTGCGATGCCCCGCCTTGCCTCCGAAAGGAGAGCATGGCTTCAGTGACACTTAAAGCTGGAAAGGACACAATGAAACAGGGACTCTCGGGTTGCGGTCCACCGATACCAGAATGCAGTCGTCTTCAGAATTGTATATGCACCTACCTCTCTGCAGTTACAGAAATACACAAAAAAGTGTGGGTACAGCTGGGTGGGGCTGGGGACAGGAGCCACTGGATTTGCCAGCCCAGAGGTTCAGAAAAGCCAACGCACCGGTTTCCCAGAGAAGGGGCGGGGGTGAAACCCGGGATTCTGATCTTGGCTGCTGCCAGGTAATGAGGTGGGCTACTGTAGTCCACACACAGGTGGTCAGCCCCGGAGGTGGAAACCCCAGCACCGGCCCTGGGAGGCCTGGCAGGAATGAGGCAAGGCCAGTTCAGGGTCAAGGGGGCAGAGGACTATCAGATACTGGCCGTGGCGCCTAGGCAGCTTCGAGAGCCCCCGCGGGCTGGGGAAATGAGAGAGGGCTGGGTTCCAAGGCCACAGCGGCACTCTAGGTGGGTCCCTGGGGTCTGGAGCAGGGAGGACAGCAGGGGAGATCTGAGCAGGGAGCATGTGGCCCATGTCAGGCCCGTGTTTACTCAGCCCACTGAACGGAGGCGGAGACCATCCCTAACCTCAGCCGTGCTCCCTAGGGCCTTGTGCCAGCTGCTAAGGAGGGAGCCCACCTCGCAGAGCCCGAAGCCGCCCTTCCTCCCCCAACAGGACTGGCCTGGCTGGGGAGCTGCAGCTGAGTCAGCGGCAGCAGGTGTGTGTGGATCCTGGGAGCCGACGCTGGCAGGGCGCCAGACCAGGGAGGCAGGTGCTCGACACCACGATGCTTCTGTGCAGCAGTTAATGCCTCTGTCCCTTAGCCCTGACCCAGAGCAGCTGCCCTGGAACACGTGTGGGCCAGCACATGCAGCAAAGCGCACAGACCAAAGGGCGACCCGCTGTCGCTGTCAACCCAGGAACTGACTGTGAGCAGGAGCAAGGCCAACCCTGACCCGGTCCTGAGCGAACCAGACTGCTGGTCACCCTAGTGCCAGAGCCCAAGGATCGGGGCCCTGAGGCAGCCGAGAGCGAGGAGAGGCCTGCTGGCCCCGAGGCGGAGCCCCGGGCCCGGGCCCTGGAGTCCGACCGCTGAGACTGCTGCAGCGCCAGTGTTCGCTCCCAGCGGCCCTCGGGGACCACACAGCTGGGTGTTTGGGCAACCGGCCCCTCCGACCCACATTCCTCCAATTCCTGTCCGTTAGTCACTCTTACAGAGAGGAAGTGCAGTCAGGAAAAGCACAGAAGATAAATAACCCTTGGTATGGGTTTGGTGTCTGCTTCCAGTGTCCCCTGGGTGCGTTGTTCTCTTACCATCTGGACGGTACATGCTTATTGCTTGGTTGTCTTTCCTCATTCTCCTACAGAATCTCAAGTCCGGTGACATCACATCCAGCACCTTCTAGGGACTCGGGAAGGGTTTAAGGAGGAAATGCAAAGTTGCGGTGCAGCTGTAGCGGAAGACGGGCTGAAAGGGTGGAATGAGCGGTGATGGTGATCATTCTGAAAGATGGCCAGTCACAACGAGAGGACCAGAATAGATGCTGTAGGAAGTCTGGTTTCCAGCACACACACAGGAAGCTCTCTGACAACCACCTCCCCGCCGTCCCGGGGGGCCTCATGTTGCTGGATTTCCTGACCTTGTTTAGGGGCCTCCCCACCAGCTGGTCTGACTGCCAGGTCTGGCCCTCACCCTCCTGCCGGCCGTTCCGCCAACACCCGTGGCCTCCCTGAGGCCCTGGGCAGGGCACTGAGGCTGACCAAACAGGGATCCCCGCAGGGGTGCCTGTGTCCCAGGGGAACTCAGCCCACATACACCAGACATGCTGTGAAGTGTCACATGTGGCTGTCTCCTTTTGGAGGCCGAGGCGTGACCTTGCAGGCCGAGGCCAGGACATCAAGGGCAGCTAGAGCAATGTCATCCCTGGCGACCTGGGCCCACCCTGTGGCTCCTCCTTGAGTCTCCTGCACCTGCGTCCTCCTTGCTCACCTCTCCTGGCTCCGGGCACATGTCCAGACGTGACTGTCACATGCCACCCACATGTGTGTGCTCCACTTGGCTCTCAGCCTCTCATGCCAAGTGACGCTGGCAGCTGACTCGCCCGAAGTTTTACTCATGCCAACCCCACCCTCTCCTGCCCCACTGACTCTGACGCTCAGGTTGACCTGCGCCGATCGAGTCGTTAGGCATTTGCCTGCTGCACTTCCTCTGCGCAGGGCCGCGCTGGTAAACAAGGCCAGTTCCTGGGGCTGACGGCGGGGGAGGGGGAGGCACAGCCAGGCACCGAGACCCAGTGTGCTGCAGCCGGGGACAGAGGTGCAAAGCTGGGGTAGGGAGAGGCGGCAGGCTGTGCCGTGATTTACGACCTCACACCTTGCCCATCTGTCCCCTGTGCGCACACATTCCTCAGCTCATCCAGAAACGAAGGAAATGCCTACCATGTGCCAGGTCCTCTGTGAGGTCCTGGGAACACAGTGATAAACAAGACCGGCTCCTGGGCTACTTTGGGCCGAGGACCCCATGCGTCCTGCTCCTGCCGGCCCCTCTGCTCTCCCTGCTTGGCGGGTCTTGGTCCCATACTCCCCTCCTTTGCCAGTCCACCTTCTCCAACCTTTAGACCTCGGCCCAAAGGCCACCTCCTCAGGGAAGGCTCCCCTGACCCCTTGACCAGTTTAAGGCCCCATTATGATGCTCTCATAACCTGTCATTTTCATTCATAGCACCTGTCATTATGTATCAATTAGTGGAGCTATTTCATTAATGTGGGTCCTCCCAATCACCTCCGCCAGAGTCTCATTTCTTACAGTGTTTACACGGTCTAGCACGTGGTAATGTGTTTGATAAACACAAATAGAATAGATGGATGGATGGATGGATGAATAGTTGGTTGAATGGATGGATAGGTGGATGGATGGACAGACGGCCTGAGGCAGAGTGACACAGGGACCAATGAGGAGACGAGCCCAATGGTGGGGACAAGAGATCAGTCAGGGAACAGCCAGGGCAGGAGGTGGGGGGTGGAGGTTGCAGATTCCCGGGACAGAACCTGCAGGGCTTGGCCACTGGTAGTTTTGGGACCGAAGCCAAGGGAGGCGCCCAAGGTGGCAACCAGGGTTCTGCCTCAGGGTGGGGGAGGCTGAGAATAAAAGCGCGCCAGGCTGGAAGGTGGGAACGAAGGGATGACCTGCTGAATTCGCCGGGATCTGCTCAGGCAGCGCAGTGGGAACACTGAGTTGTTTTTGGCCACTGTGAAAGCGAGGATAACACAGCAGTCCTCGCCCGCGGGGGATGCACCCCATGTCCTGCCGCGGACGCCTGGGACCGTGGACAGTACCAAACCCCACATGCTGCTGCGTTTTTATATATGCGTTTATGATAAAGTTTAACTTAGAAATTAGGCACAGTAAGAGGTTAACAATGGTAACTAATAATAAAATAGAACAATTACAGCAATGTCCTGTAGTAAAAGCTTTAGGAATGTGCTCGCTCGCTCTCTCTCAAAAGACCTCACTTCCTCTACTCGCCCGGTGAGGACGGGAGGTGAACAGCGCTCACATGAGGAGATGAAGCGACATGCTCAGGACGGCACAATTTAACACTTACTAATAGTTTCTTTCTGGAATTTTCCATTGAATGTTTTTGGACCACCATTGATCAAGGGATAACAAATTGTGGAAAGTGAAGCCGCGGAGAAGGCGCTGCCGTGGGGAAGGGGGGACGGCTGGCTGCACCAGCCACTCTGAGAGAGAAACGCCACAATGTTGGCGGTCTAAGGAAAGCTTTTTATTAAAAATAAGTTTTTGGCCCACATGATGGCCCCACGCAGGTGTCCCGGTCAGCACGACGATGTGGTGGTTTAAGGACCCAGGTCCTCCCACGCAGAGGGTCCACCACCTCCTGGGGCCTCAGGGCTGAAGGGGAGAGACAGCGGAGGACACACCCCTGGTCTCGGCCGCCTTGGCCCACAGGCGGCATCAAACCGCCTCCCGCCGGAATGCGGAGGATCCAGACTTGCTTGTCTCCTGTGCTCGCAGCCAGACCCTGGGCCCGTCATACCAAGTGTGAATGTGCAGGGAGCACGGATGTAGAGCTGCGGAGGCTGGAGCCGGTACGTCCCCGGAGGTGTCGGAGCCACGGGGGCCCGCGGTGCTCCGGGGGGACAGGGCCTGCCTGGAGCCCTGACGCACGAGCAGGTGAGCAGCAGCTAACCAAGGGGATGGCGACCGGGCCGAGTGTTCGCTCTGCTCCGGCCAGGGGCCCTGCTTGGCCTTTGTGGCTTGGAAATCAGCTCCCGGCCCAGCAGAACAAGCCCCATGTGTCTTCCAGCCGCGTTCTCTGGCCCACGACTGACAGAACTCTGTCTTTCCCAGGCTGCCCGCAAGACTTCCCCCATGACGATGATGATAAGGACAACAGCCTCCCATCTATCGTGGTCACGTCAAGTGCGTCACATCCGGGACATCCTCGTGCCCTCCGGAGGCCAACGATCTCCGGCAGTCACGACGGGCACTTCTGCCTGGCAGTTGCACCATTTCTGGAAATCCAGACACGGCTTCCTCACCCCCACCCCAGCCCCAGGGCAGTGGGCCCCTCAGGCTCTGGGCAGGGCACTGGCAGGGCGCAGCGGCTAAGAGAAAACGGGGTCCCCAGGGGCGCCTCAAGTCCTTCTTCACACAGTTCTATTCACGGGCCGGCTCAGGCCAACGCTTGCTGTCCACACAGTGTGTGCTGCTACACTTTACCGCCTATGCGTCTCTCAACAGCTTCATGAAGCTGTGGCTACCAGGCCTGATTTATACATAAGACACTTGCTATCTGAAGAAATTAAACAACTTTCCCCAAAGTACACACATCATGGTGGAGTCCGGATTTGAGCACAAGGATCACCTGGGTGTCCTGTACGTGCCAAGGGCTTTTTAATGCATTTCCAATGACAGAATTTCAGGACCAGTTGCTAAGCCTCGTGAGCTGGCCTAGCAGGTAAAAATGGCCCGTGTAGTTGGGCAACGGGAGTAGGTTCCAGACAAGCGGCTGCTATGGCCCCGCGTCTAGCTGGGGTCTGGGCAAATGTTTGGTGCTATTTCTGAAAGGCCCTGAGTTGGAGCCGCAGGCTCTGGGTATCCTGGGGGGCAGCCCATGCGCGTCTGGGAGGCTGGGCCACAGGAATAAGGCCACAGCCGCAGAGATTCAAGCGCAGGATTTTGCCCGATAATTCACCTTTTTAAAAGAGTAAACACGTCTGGTCCTCTAAGGACACAGAAGAGGCCTGGTGAAATGCACCGATCCACGTGTGGTGGCCCCGTGGATTCATACGCACGCACCCTCCTCGCTCAGAGCTGGAGCTAAAACCGGCGGTTTCCAGACTCCCTTGCCGCCAGGGTGCAAGATGGGAACTACTTCCTATCACCCGGACTCGCGTGGGGCCCTGAATTATCCGGAAGAGAAATGCGGGCGGCTTCCCGCCTTAGGAGGCGGCTTCTGGGAGACGGTGGGGCAGCAGCTTCTTGACTGCACACGGGCAGAAGGCCCCGGGCTGCACAGCCTGCATGGCGGGCTCAGGAGCCCTTCCTGGGCGCTCCTTCCCGGACGTTGCTATGGTCCTGCCGGGCCTCTTCAAGGTCTTTAATCCTTCGTAAACGCCTCTTTGTCCAAACCATCTTAGGTGGATTCCCTGGCCTGCCACCCGGAACTCTGACCACGCCCCGAAGGAACGCGTCTGCGTGGCTGGGTCCACCCTCTTTACTCCGACCCAGGCCCACCTGACCGGAGGGGCGCCGCTGCCCTCCCTGGGACCAGGACGGCCGCTGCGCTGGAGCAGCTCAGCGACGTCGTCTGCAGTAGAGGACAGGGGCCACCGCGCCCTGCAGGCTTCCACGTGGAACGTGGTGCGTTCCCAGCACCGCGCCCCCACCACACACAGTGAACAGCGCCCCTGGGAGCTCACCTCCCACACGCAGACCAGCCAATCCAGAGCCCTCCGAGGGCCCCACCCACCTCCTCTGTGGGGCTCCATCCCCAGGCCCCTGCCCAGCCGCCCCAGGCACACGAGGCCCCAGGTGAGGAAGGGCAGCTCCTACTACGCCCGGGCCGGCTGACCGTCTTCACACGCGCCAGGCCCGAGCCTCCGCAGCCTGTCTCGAAGTTGCTGCCCACACGCTGCCCGCACTCCCTCCGCCTTCTGACCGCCCTGGGCCTCTCTGCGTGGGCCCGGGGCACGGGAGCTGCCCCCTTCTCGTGGGGTCTGTGATGGACACAAAACCCTTTTGCAACGGCAGCCATCTACTCACCAGCTCGCCTTGCCACACCTAAGTAATAATAAAACCCGTATTTTGAAACACCCTTTATCGACGCATCTGTACGTTTAAAGAGCATCTGCCTCGGCCACGTAAGCGCCACGGTTCTGGGCCTCAAGGGCCCGCGATGATCAGCTCAGACACTGTTGCCACCTTTCTGAAGTGTGATTAGAGCCACACACATCAAACAAATAATCCCACAAATGTGTAATTAGAAAGCGTAACACACTATATGGAGAAAATAATTACAGAGCGCTATGTGAGCACAAGGGGACCGGATTATGGCTCCTGCACGCAGGCCTATAAAGCCTGAGCCGGGTGAGGAGTGGAGAAGGAGGATGTGTAAGGACCGACAACAGGAGCACGTGCCAGGGTCCTGGGGCAGGAAGGAGGGTGGGTCAAAGGAAGAGAGCAGCTGGGATGGTCACTGCAGGGGAATGAAAGGAAGCAGGCGAAGGGCGGTGCCAAGGTCCCGTGGACACCTGAAGGACTTTGGAATTCTTCCTGAAACAGCCTATCTTTGAAGGGTTGTAAGCAGAGAATTATCTACCATAGTTTACTTTAAAGAAGTCTTTTAAATTGATCTGAGAGAGAGAGAAGGAGAAGAAACAGCGAGTGAAGCATCGACCTGTTGCTCCACTTACGGATGCATTTGTCAGTAGATGCTTCTAAGTGGCCTGCGTGCGGCTCAAACCCGCAACCTTGGCATATCTGGACAATGCTCTAACCAACTGAGCTACCTGGCCAGGGACTAGCATAGTCTGTGATTTATAAAGACCCCCTGGCTGCTGTGCATGTGCGATTACAAGACAAAAATGAGAGCAAGAGGGAGACAAGTGTAAAGATGCAAAGTGCCAGGGAAGAGGATGGGGAAGGAGAGCAGGAAAGGGGGTGACTGTGGGGTCAGAAGGGACAGGCCTTGGTGATGGGTGGAGCCGGGGTGCAGGAGAGAGGGCGTGGCGTCTCCCTGGGGGCTCCTTTGGGCCCTGGGTGGGAGGGAGGTGCCCGGGGGTCTCCTACGGAACCAGCTACCAGCTGCGTCCTTCCGCGAGCCCCAGCAGCCCAGCCCGAGCCCCGCGTCCCCGCCTTGGGTTGCAGCGGGGACGAGAGGCGGGAGCCGGGTGAGGGGTTTCCCTCCCTGCCCTGAAACCCAGCTGAGGGGCCTGTTCCGAGCCCACCCTCTGCACCCCGACCCCAGCAGGACAGAATGTTCTGGAAGGGAGGAGCCCCAGGATAAAAGGGTACACATTTCCTCCTTTTCTTTCCTTCCTTTATTGGCCCTTGGAGGAGTGAGCTGCCCCTTTGAGGGGAGGGCCCAGGTAGAAGATTTTTTCAGGATGGAGAAAACCTCTTTCCCCCCAGGACTACAAGTCACACCATTGTGTTTTTGGAAACTGACCCCCTCCCCAACTCTCCTACCCTCTGCCACCTCCTGTGGAGAATCAGTTTTTCTGTTGCCAAACAAACAAACAAAAAAAAAAAAAAAAAAAGGTACCCACAAGACTGGCTCTTCTTCTTTTTTAAATCAAACTGACCGAGATAAAATTTACATACTATAAAATATACTCATTTTAAACCTACATTTTGATGTGGGTTTTTTTTTTAAGTTTTCAGTTCAGTGCATTTTCACAAGTGCCCCCACCCCCGTAACCGCAGCTGGCCCGGGGAGACGGCACAGGCTGTTTGCGTCACCCCAGCAAAGGCTCCCGGGCCGCAGGCAAGCCCGGCCTCAGGCCCGCTGTAGGCTCTGCCCACGCGCCAGCCCCGCAGCCCACAGCCCTGCTACACAGTGAGGGCGGCCAAGACACGGGGTCACTCGGTAAGTTGCCCAAGGTCACGCAGCCACGGGTGGCAGAGCCAGGACCCGAACACGCACAGCCCGGCGCCTGGCCCGTCTGCTCAGGCAGGCAGGCTGCGGAGCGCTGTGGCGGGGGCCGTCGGCAGCCCCGCCGAGGCCCACACCAGGGTCCCACCTGGGCTGCTGTACGGACAAGCTGTTCGGTCATCCCTAAGCGGGGGCTACAGTCCAATCTCCCGGTCCCGTGAGATTCACAGTGACGACTCCTGCCCACAAAAACAAGAGGTCTGTCCCGAAGGTATCCAGCCAAGTGCTATGAAAAAGAGCGACGTCCGCTGAAGAAGATACGAGATGTAGGAAACACTGCACACAAGGCCATGGCGCCTCCGTCCCCTTCGGAGGAGGCACCCTGGGACCTCACACGGTTCTCCCAACTGCCATCAGCTGCCCCTTCGTGTTTTCCTGAGATGCAGTTTCCATCTCTACCTCTACTCCGGAATTTTTAGCACCATTTTGTAGGTCCCACTGGCCCCATCTGTTCCCAGGTCTGAGGGATCCCTAGGAGCCTCCGCCACAGGCTAAGGGATGTGTGGAGGGGGATTTCGTGGGGTGCGCTCTGCGCCTCCGTTTTGGCAGGTCGAGTTGCCAAGAGACGGGGTTCGTTCGGGGGGAATGGCTGGCTCTGGGGACAGAGGAACAGAGGTCCAGCGGGGTGGGTGGCAGGCGGGGGGCAGCGCACGGCCCTGCCACACAGCACAGCACCCGTCTCTCCCAACATCATGTACTCAAGTTACAGCTATCTAGACTTTCCAAAGCAGGGAAACAATGTATTGGCCGAAAAAAAAAAAAAGTAATTTGTCAGAATATGATTTCACCTTTTCAGCTGGATTCTAGAGGTGTATTGTTCAGCTGCTGTGTAAACATCCCAACTTCACTTTTATTCAACCAGAATAAAGACTAAAAAACAAAAAAGACAAACTCTGATATTATCGCTTGTCCAGGCGGGTCACCAGGACAGCGCAGAGGCACAGAGGCCCAGGCCCTTAGGACACAGGGCCTCTGGGGCACAGGACCTGCAGCCAGATGGACTGTTTACTGAAGCCCCTCCATACCCCCGGGACCCCCTTGGAGCCTGGGCAGGAGGTGCTCAGAGCCCCGGAGAGGAAAGGAGCCGAGGGCTGCGCGGGGCCGGCAGGAGCTCAGCAGCCCCGGGACGAATGGTCGGCCGAGCCACTTCCCACTCCCTGCTGCGCATTCATCTTCACGCGCTCACCTTGCAGCCGATCTGGAGGATGTTTGTGTCACTTAGTTTTCTTACTCATCTAATGACAGGCAGGGGAAGCATTCCAACTCCGCCAGTCCCAGGGCTCTGTGGCAAGGAAATGCGCAGACCGGGGCGGGCCCGACAAGGGGGTGAGGAAACCCACCGCACGCCCCGCCCGGGGCCTCTGCACCTGGGGTGGGACTCTGTGCTGCCCCCTTGGCCCCGCGTCGGCAAAGCCCGGCCTTTTCATTTTTCTGCCCTGGCAGCTGGGACCTGCCCCAACTGTGAGGTCACCTCAACCCACTGATGACTGTAGTGGCTTCGTTCTTCTGCCGCCCGTGACCCAGCCTCCGAAACGCTGAGGTGGAGGCGTGCAGCCAGTCAGTGGGCGGTGAGGAAGCCTAAAGAGGCCAGCAACGCCCTCTAGGAGCCAGGGCTGGGGGTGGACGCAGCAAAGAAGCCAAGACAAGGTGTGGGCTCCTCTTCCTGGGACATCGGAGGGCATGCATGGTGTGCCCATCACTGAGCAGGGCCTCCAGAATCAAGTCCCAGCTCTCCACCGTATTGAAAAAACAAAAACAAACAAACAAGAAAAAAAAACTTCAAAATTTTCTTTTAATTACAAGAAAAGGCACTAGCCAGGTAGCTCATTTGGTTAGAAGATCATCGATACACCAAGGTTGTGGGTTCGATCCGTGGTCAGGGCACATACAAGAAGCAACCAATGGATGCATACATAAGTGGAAAAACAAATTGATGTTTCTCTCTCTCCCTAAAAATCAATAAACAGAAATTTTAAAGGGATATCATCCAGGAAGCAAAGCTTTGAGCGCAGTGGAAAAGGGCTTCCCTCCTCCAGGGCACAGCACACGCCAGCTGGGCCCCCACCTGCGGCACAACCTACGATCCCTCACCACCTGGCTTCCTCGTCTTTCTGGCCTCCTGTCCCTCTGCTCCCTTCTTTGCTGGGACCTGCCAGGCCTCCCTCCCCACTGCTTCGGGCAGTGGCTCTGAAGCCCCCTGCCCCCTCTGCTCTTCTGTCTGTGGAACCCTGTCTCTGCCTTGTGAAGTCCTCTACCATCCCCCCTCTCCCCTTTTTATAAAGCCTCTTTTCTCAACACTGAAATGGAACACTCGGACCGGCACCTGACCTTGGGGGAGAGGAGGCAGCCTTGTGGCACTAGGCTGTAACCCGCGGGGCGTCATGCTCTCGCTGGGTAGGCAGCGTCGGGATTGAGGTAAATTAAAACGCAGGATGCCCGGCTGGTGTCAGAGAGTTGCTTGTTCTGGGGGTAAACCCCACACATCTGATCATCAGGACGGTCAGAAGGGAAGTGTTCTGTGTGAGGGCGAAGAAGGCTCACAGGAGGGAAACACAGGAGGGCAAAACTGGGATTGCCTGGACGTAGGAAGGAAAATACTGAGTTTCTCTGTTAATAACTCTGTTTTCCGGTCATTTGTAAATGACTTTTTAAGGAGTTCCTTATCAAGTGACTTGCCTATTTTTTTAATATTGAGGTAATACTTTTTTCTTATTAACTTGTAGAAGTTTTTCATATACTGCAGTTAGGAGTCCTTTGTTAGATATGTGTTTTGTAAATATACATGGTCCAGCAGAAGTAAGGCTTGCTTGTGTGTGGCTGGTAGGGTAATGATATAGGTGTAATAATTTATAGTTTTAATGTGAACACTTCGCCTCAAATGTCGTATGGTGTGCTTGACTGTGATGTTATGTTACAGAATTACATGCTTATGATTTTGCAATGAAAGATTTTGTGATAAAAAAAGGGATGTTATTTGTGCCAGGTCCTGTATTTCTTCCAGTCCATGGTTTATCTTTTTTACTCTCTTATAGTGTTTTCAATTAACATAAGTGTTTTTAAAGATTTTCTTTATTTTTTGGGGGGGGGGGTGGGAGGGAGAAAGAGAGGGAGAGAAACATCAATGTGCCAGAGATATATCCATCAGTTCCCTCTTGCGCACCCGC